TGGACATAGTAATGTTGAATAAATGAACTAAATCCAATAATAAAATGCTATTATTATTTTCGACATGTATAGCAAAGTTTTGATTTCTTTTATTTTAAGATAATAAATAAGTATTAAAATGACCAGGGTTTGTTTCCCCTGTGCCCCCTGAGGTGCATGCACACCACACTGGGGAGACCTTTAGTCTGGAAGTTAACTTAGAACTTTTTCTTGGTCCCCAGCAGTGTCTAGGTGAAGGACTAACTCCAGCTCCTTTGGCCAGGAAAAGGCTCCAAGGTCTCTGTGCAGGGAGCTGGGTGGGGGGGAGGGGGGTCGTAGGTGGCTCAGGACTTGAGGATTCTCTGCTGTTCTTTGCTATGCATGGAGGAGGTGTCTGATCCAGGCAAATAACTGCAACAAGGGACTCAGAAGGCAGTGCCGGCTTCCCAGAGAGAGTAGCTGATGCTCTCACCTCATTCTCAGATCCCTCTGGATGTGGGACAGCTTTGCCTGGAGTCTATGTGCTGTGATAGTACTCCGGATCCCCTCAGGAGGGACCTGGGCATCTATGCACCCCAAGCCTAGCTCAGAACCTGGCACATGGCAAGTACTCAGGAAATGTTGGTTGAACTTAATTGAAATGAGAGATAATCACAGCCCTTTTATGTGCCATTCATTCATTCACTCATTCATTTCCATGTGCCAGTTTCTATGCCAGGCCCTGGGTCAGACAAGTCGTAAAAACATGGGTCATAGTAACCTACGGTAGCCTACAATTTAAACAGAGACAAACAGGCTGAGACAGAGGAAAGAATGCTAGGCTGAGTAGTAGACTTCTGGACTCTGGTCCAGGCTCTGTGTCTGACCAACCTGTGACACCAGGCAAGTCCCTTCTCTGGACCACTGCTCCCATCTGAAAAAGCACAGCATGGCCTCAGTGCTTGTGGGGTCATTTCTCACCTTAAATGCTAAGATTTGTAAGGCATTGGGACAGGCTGATCCAGGGGCTGCAAACTCACAAGCTTGCAGGGCCAAGCAGGGAACAGGGAGTTGAGGGTTGAGGTGGTGAGGACACACCCCTACAAGGGGTCCCCACCAGGCAGGAGCACAGGTGCAGTCACCAAGTCATTGGTCTTTTCCAGAGAAGCTGGATATCTGGGGTGGGTAATAATGGTGGCATTTCTTAACTTGTCAAGTATTATGCAAGCCGAATGAAACTTTTCTGCTGACTTATCCACAAGTGACCTTTTCGCAAGCCCTGCCGGGCGCGCCGTTGGTTCACAGCCTTTTGACTTCTCCACTCAGAGCAAGAAGAGGCCTTGGGCTCAAAGGTTCACGCCAAGATTTGGAGAGGGAAGTGGGATGAGCGGTCTGCTTAATCATTTCCTGTGAAGGGAAGCATCCCTCACAGTTCTCCTGGAATAATAGCCATTTCACTGGGGTCATGGGTGGGCTGGGGGTGGGGCAGTGAGTGCCCACCTGGAAACCCATCACAACATTCAAAAATAACAGTTTTACAGCAAAGTTCTTGAATAGCCACAAGAATGGAAAAGGACAGCTATAGAAATCATTTGTGCAGTCATACGTCAGAGAGATTGCCGGTTTGTTTACAGACTACCGCAATAAAGCAAATATCAAAATTGAGTAAGTTACATACATTTTTTGGTTTCTCAGTGCATATAAAAGTTATGTTTTGTAGTCTATTATGTGCAATAGAATTATGTCTCGAAAAATGTACATACCCTTATTTAAAAATTCTTTATGGCTAAAAAAGGCTAGTGATCATCTAAGCCTTCAGCAAGTCGTAATCTTTTTGCTGGTGGAAGGTCTTGTCTCAGTGGTGATGGCTGCTGACTGATCAGGGTGGTAACTGCTGAAGGTTGGGGTGGTTGTGGCAATTTTTTAAAATAAGACAAAAATGATGTTTGCTGCATCGATTGACTTTTCCTTTCACAAGAGATTTATCTGCAGTATGTGATGCTGGTTGATAGCATTTTACCCACAGTAGAATCTCTTTCTGAATTGGAATCAATTCTCTCAAACCCTGCCACTGCTTTATCAACTAAGTTTATATAATATTTTAAGTCCTTTGTTGTCATTTCAACAATGTTCACAGCATCTTCACCAGGAGTAGATTCCATCCCGAGAAACCACTTTTTTTGCTCATTCATAAGAAGTAACTCCTCATCCAGTCAAGTTTTATCATGAGATTGCAGCAATTCAATCACACCTTCAGGCTCCACTTGTAATTTTAGTCTCTTGCTATTTCTATCACATCTGCAATTACTTCTTGCACTGTAGGCTTGAACCCCTCAAAGTCATCCATGAGGGTTGGAATCAACTTCTTCCAAACTCCTGTTAATGTTGCTATTTTGACCTCCTCCTGTGAATCATAAATGTTCTTAATGGTATCTAGAATGGTGAATCCTTTCCAGAAGATTTTTAATTTACTTCACCCAGATACATCAGAGAAATCACTATGTATGGCCACCATACCCTTACAAAAATGTTTCTTAAATAGTAAGACTTGAAAGTTGAAATGACTCCTTGATCCCCAGGCTGCAGAATGGATGTTGTGTTAGTAGGCATGAATGCAACATTCATCTCATTGTATAGCTCTATCAGAGCTTTTAAATGACCAGGTGCATTGCCAATGCGCAGTAATATTTTGAAAGGAATCTACTTTTCTGAGCAGTAGGTCTCAATAGTGGGCTTAAAAGATTCAGTAAACCGTGCTGTAAACAGATGTGCTGTCGTCTAGGCTTTGTTGTTCCATTTATAGAGCACAGGCAGAGTAGATTTAGCATAATTCTTTAGGGCCCTAAGATTTTCAGAATGGTAAATGAGCATTGGCTTCAACTTACAGTCACCAGCTGCCTTAGCCCCTATCAAGAGTGCCAGCCTGTCCTTCGAAGCTTTGAAGCCAGACATTGATTTCTCCTCTCTAGCTAAGAAAGTCCTAGATGTCATCATCTTCCAATAGAAGGCTGTTTCATCTACATTGGAAATCTGTTCAGAGTATCTACCTCATTGTCTTACCTAGATCTTCTGGATAACTCGCTGCAGCTTCTACATCAGCACTTTTATGTTATGGAGACGGCCTCTTTCCTCAAACCTCATGAACCAACTCCCACTAGCTTCAGACTTTTCTTCTGCAGGTTCTTCTCTCAGACTTCATAGAAATGAAGAGGGCTAGGGCCTTGCTCTGGGTTAGGCTCTGGTTTAAGGGAATGTTGTGGCTGGTTCGATCTTCTATCCAGACCACTAAAACTTCCTCCACATCAGCAATAAGGCTATTTTGCTTTCTTACCATTTGTGTGTTCGCTGGAGTAACACCATTAATTTCCTTCAAGAATTTTTTCCTGGCCGGGCACGGTGGCTCACGCCTGTAATCCTAGCACTCTGGGAGGCCGAGGCGGGCGGATTGCTCGAGGTCAGGAGTTCGAAACCAGCCTGAGCGAGACCCCGTCTCTACTAAAAATAGAAAGAAATTAATTGACCAACTAAAAGTATATATACAAAAAATTAGCCTGGCATGGTGGTGCATGCCTGTAGTCCCAGCTACTCGGGAGGCTGAGGCAGGAGGATCACTTGAGCAAACAGGAGGAGTTTGAGGTTGCTGTGAGCTAGGCTGACGCCACGGCACTCACTCTAGCCTGGGAAACAAAAGTGAGACTCTGTCTCAAAAAAAAAAAAAAAGAATTTTTTCCTTTGCATTCACAACTTGGCTAGATGTTTGACAGAAGAAGTCTACCTTTAGGCCTGTCTCGGCTTTGACATGACCTCCTCACTAAGTTTAATCATTTCTAACTTCTGATTTAAAGTGAAAGATGTGCAACTCTTCCTTGCACCTGAACACTTAGAGGCCAGACATTGTAGGATTATAAATTGGCCTAATTTCAACATCATTGTGTCTCAGGGATTAGGGAGGCCCAAGGAGGGGAACAGCCAGTAAGTGGAACAGTCAAAACACATTTATCAACTGTTTGCCATCTTACATGGGTGAGGTTCATGGCATCCCAAAACAATGATACCATCAAAGATCACTGCTCACAGATCACCATAACAGATACAATAATAAAGTTTGAAATGTTGTGAGAACTACCAAATTGTGACACAGAGGCATGAAGTGAGCACAAGCTGTTAGAAAAACGGCACCACTAGACTCGCTTGATGCAGGGTTGCCACAACCTTCAATTTGTAAGCAACGCAATATCTGCAAGGCTCAATAAAATGCAGCACAAGAAAACAAGGTGTGCCTGTATTTAGCTTTGAAATATACTGCGTGGATTGGGTTCTAACTTAATAGAAGTATTTATTGAGCCTACTATGTTCAGAGTTCTGGGAGTTCAGAAGAAATTCATCTGTGCCCTTAAAGAGATTATGCTCAATCTCATTCACTCGAAGTCAGCTCAGTGTTTATTGCGCTCCTCTCTTTGGCTCAGGAGGGGTGGGATATGAAAGAGAAGACACGAGTTGGCAGCCTCTGCCCCCAGGGCACCACAGCCTGTTAAGGAAGAGAGCTGTATATAAAAATGATTCTAAGTCTGGCCATAGTAACCGCTCTAACAGAAATTCAAACAGCATCCAAACGTGAACGCTTCATGAATTTGCACATTTGCTTAGGCCGCTATTAAATATTTAAATTACTTTCCTTTATAGGCAGTGAGGGAAGCAACCCAGGTGCTCCCCAAGCTGGCCAGGGGGTAGGGGGTGATGCTTGAGGCAAACACAAGATTGCAGATAATTCACAAGGTGGACAACCGAGAGTCAACCCTAAAACCGTCTCTTCCTCTGACCTGGCAGCTTTCTCATGACCATTCTTTTCTCTTCTTCCGTCTTTGTCCCTTCCGTGTGCCCCCTCTTCCAAAACCCTCGCCTGCTTCTCCCCGCTTCTGTCTGTCTCTGTCCCCCCTGCCTGGCTCTTGCCGAGGGCAGGCGCCTCTGTCAGCCTCCTCGCAGTGGTAGTTATTGTGTGTGGCGTGGCCCTGGTGGCAGTTTTTCTCTTTCTCTTTTGGAAGCTGTGCTGGATGCCCTGGAGGAACAAGGAGGCCTCCAGTCCCTCTTCTGCTAACCCCACCTTGGAGGCCCTCCAGAGCCCCAGCTCCAGAGGCAACATGGCAGACAAGCTGAAGGACCCGAGCACCCTGGGCTTCCTGGAGGCCGCCGTGAAGATCAGCCACACATCCCCAGATATCCCGGCCGAGGTGCAGATGTCGGTCAAGGAGCACATCATGCGTCACACGCGGCTGCAGCGACAAACCACAGAGCCAGCGTCATCCACCAGGTGAGGGGTGGCCTCCTCCCTTCCCTGACCCCCACACATCCACACGCCCTTATTTAATACATTGCTGAGATTTCAGCCTGGGAGGGTCAGAGGCAGAAATAATAACATGTATCCTTCGATTGAGAAATATGTCAGACGGTGTGATCCTTGATGGGCGGTCAACTAGGAGGTGGCCACCAGGAAAAGGAGAACTTTGAGGCAGGGGGCTATGCACGTGGTGTGCACTCAGTGGGTGTAGGGGTGTGGGGGCAATGGGAGAGTAGGGTAGGGGTGTGTTGGGTGTTTGGAAGGAAAGACTTCAGGCAAAGGGAAGAGAATATGCAAAGGCCCAGAGGCATAAAAGTTCATGGTGTGTTCAGGGATATGTCAGTGAGGCCTCATAGCTAGTGTCTGCAGTGCATGGGAGACAAGGCTAGCAGTTTAAGGATAAGGATTCTTTAAAAATCTTTCAGAGTTCCCTGTATGGCAGCAATTGTATACATGGCACCTTTTAACTGAAAACAGCAGCAACAAGAAGCACATAATGACAAAAATCCACTAAATTCAGAAACACTTTAAAAGATGTGGTGCATGCATGTATGAGGCTACGTACTAACTTAAAACTTAGGGTTCTTGGGTCCCTGCAATGTCTCTCCAGGCTCCCAGGGGGCCAACCAACAGGAAGGAGCTGAAGACTCCTGGTCTTCAGCCTGGAGTGAAAGTACTGGGGTCACACTGATAGAGTTGGCCTTGGGCCAGTTGCTCACCTTCCCTGAGCCTCACTTTTCCCAGCTGTAAAATAGGGCTAATGACTTGTGTAATGTGCTGTGAGGAGCCAATGAAATAATCCATGTGATAATGAGAGCTGACACATAGATCTCTCATTATATTATACACCTGGCCCTATACTAAGTACTTTATTAATTCACTTCACCCTCACAGCAATCCTATGCAACTGCCACTTTCATTATCCCCTTTATTATTTTTTTATAGCATAGGGAGGTTAAATAACTTGCCCAAGATCATACAGCCAGGAAGTGGCAAAGCCAAAATTAACCTATGTAGCCTGACTCCAAAGCCCAGGATTTTGACCACTCCTGACTGCCGAACAGTAAGTGTTCCATAAATGGTGGTAGTGGTGATGATGGTGAGGACAGGAGTGCCACATTGAGGGTAAGAAAGGACGGTCCTTTCCCTACGGGATCTCATTGTTTAGTGGGGGAATCAGAGTCATGTCTACCAGGAAAGAAACCTAGAAAGCAAGCAACAGAAAAGCAGGAAGAATGATAGCAATGGCTAACATTTATTGAGTTTACTCTATACCAGGCACCATTCCAACTGCTTTACATATATTAAGGCATATAACACTCACGCCCTTGCACACAAGTTTGTGCAGAGGAAAACTGGGCTCAGCAAGGGATAGGATGAGCCAGGGCCGCCAGCACTGCCCTCCCCCTGAGCCCTGACCACACTCTCTCTGTCCCCTCCTGCCCTCTGCCAGGCACACGTCCTTCAAGCGCCACCTGCCACGGCAGATGCACGTCTCCAGCGTAGACTACGGCAACGAGCTGCCGCTGGCAGCAGAGCAGCCCACCAGCATTGGCCGCATCAAGCCCGAGCTCTACAAGCAGAAGTCAGTGGATGGGGAGGACGCCAAGTCCGAGGCCACTAAGAGCTGCGGGAAGATCAACTTCAGCCTGCGCTACGACTACGAGAGTGAGACCCTGATTGTGCGCATCCTGAAGGCCTTTGACCTCCCTGCCAAAGACTTTTGTGGAAGCTCTGACCCTTATGTCAAGATCTACCTCCTGCCCGACCGCAAATGCAAGCTGCAGACCCGGGTGCACCGCAAGACCCTGAACCCCACCTTCGACGAGAACTTCCACTTCCCCGTGCCCTACGAGGAGCTGGCCGACCGCAAGCTGCATCTCAGTGTCTTCGACTTTGACCGCTTCTCCCGCCACGACATGATCGGCGAGGTCATCCTGGACAACCTCTTTGAGGCCTCTGACCTGTCCCGGGAAACCTCCATCTGGAAGGACATCCAGTATGCCACGAGTGTGAGTACAGCTCTGCTCCCTTGGCTTCCTGAGAATTTGCAGTTCTGAGTTGGGTGGGACATGTCCCCCACCCCCACACTCCCTAAAGACAAATGGGCCTTTGCCCTTCTGAATGTGAAGGGAATTCTGGAAACTGCCCGATGGCCCAGCCTGCCCTGGGGAAGTCCTCGCACTCTGCCCCAGGTTGGGGTGGTAGACAGCAGAGTTTCCACGCAGATGGAAGGGAAGGGAATTTTATCTATTGCTTCTGATTGCATGTTCTGAGGTGGTTCTTTCTACCTGCTAGGCCTCAGGTTTGCCACCTATAAAATTATGTTATTTGTCCCTTTGATCATGAGTAAGGGTTGGGCCAGGCCCATAGACTGAATCAGACAGCAGCATCTGCTGAGGGCATTGATATGTATCAGAAGCTTAGAATAGGCGGTCGAGAGCAGACTAAATCAATCAGGATGAACCAAGCTATGCTGCGGCAACAAACAGTCGTAGGATTTTGTGGCTTAAGGCAGCTGAGGTTTATGTTCTGCTCGTGTTACATGCACTTAGCAGCTTGGCTGGGGGCACCACTCCACCTTGCTACCCAGGGATCCAAGCCAACAGAGGCTCCATCTCGACATGTGCTCCCACAGTTAAACATTGGGGGCAAGAGGATGTGGCAGACCGTGTACCATTTCTTAAAGCTTCCACGCAGAAGCCACACCTGTCACTTCCACTCACATGCATTACCAAGCAAGACAGACACAGGGCAGCTCCCACTGTCAAGGGGTCGGGGAAGTAATGCTGCCGTGTGCCCAGAGGGAGATCTGCAAAGACCTAAGGAACAGCACTAACAATGACACACAGCAGAGTCCCTTCTCTTAGGCCTCGTCTCCTTGGTGCAGACTAGGAGATGAGGGAGACCGACCCCAAAGGAGACGTGGCTAATCCACACGTGACAGGCGGATGCTGGGCTGTTCACAATCAACTGGAATTAACCAGGGAAGGTTTCAAGGAGCTGAGGCTCAGGTTGGCTTCTAAGAGGAGGGAGGGCAGGTTTGGCGCTGAGAACCAACTGGAGAGGGCACATCCAGAGCCCTTGGGGTTGGCGTAGATGGCGTGCTCCGGCCCCCGGGTGGAGGAAGCTGTGTAGCGGCGATCTGCAGGGGTAGTGGTGCCCCTCTCTCTAAGCCCACCTAGGCAGCTGGGGTGTTTCCCTCAAGCTCCAGGGGCCTTGCATCTGGTGTCTTGAGTGCTAACTGGTTGAGTGTCATCCTGGATATGCCCTGTGCCATATCTCTGGGAAGTGGTGACCCCACTATGCCTACAGACCTCCCTTTGGACAGTTAGTTCTCAATATCTCTGTGCTGAATTTTTGAGGAGAAAGGCTTGGAGAATTAGCCCTGCTCCGGTGGGCAAAGGGTACGAATCTCAATTTGTGCAAAGAGAAAAAGCTTGATGGGCTCTGCTTCTGTCCCAGGAAGGGTGTCTGGGACACCCCGTTGTCACAGCTGGTGCTGACTTTGACCGGTCCAGTCCTGTGTCTCCGTGCTAGCCCCACCTTTGCTTTCCTGAAACGCTGTCCCTAAGAAAATCGAGAGCAGCCGGCGGCAGACAGACGGGGCAGGCAGACGGGGCGGATCAGAACAGCAGCTGTGTACCGGCCCCAGGCACGGGAGCTCCGCTCTATAAATCACTGTGAAGTTTACATCTGGTGCAGCTTGTCCCTTGTGATCTCCTAAGGCAGCGGCTTCATTGCAGTGACTCTACAGGTAGAGAAAAGCCACTCAGTTCTCCTCACAGTGAAGCCAAGGCCCAGGGTAGGTGGGTGAGGCCAGGGGCCGCAGGAAGCAGAGCTCACTCAGCCCTCCTGGGGGCCTCTTTGCTCCCTGCCAGAGCCCCCACCTTCGTATCACGAACTTCCCATACCCTAGACCTGCTGTGGCTGTCCCTGCCCCTGTCCCATCCCCACTTCCCTAGCTCAGCTTCCAAAGGAGGCAAGTCAACCCAAGTACACTGGACACATCCCCATCATCCCCATCATCCTCAGTCAATATCACCGTAGTCCTCCCCATCTCCTCCTCCTGAGAACACTGAGCCAGGCACCGAGGGGTGAGGGTGGGAGGGGCTGGGAGAGAAAATAGCCTCTTTGACCCACAGAAACATAATCTAATTACAGAGACAAGAAATGTTCATGCAATCAATTGCTGGCAATGCAAGGCAACAAATACTACACACTGTCTGCAGTTAAAAGATCCCTGAGTGTTAGGACAGCTGGGAAGGTCTCTTTCTTGGATGAGGACAATTAAACTAGGTGGGGAAAGACTTATATAAATAACCTGATAGGCAAAGGAGGAGGCAGCATTCTAGCCAGGAGCAGAGGGAGTCCAGACCCAGAAGTTTCCAGAGGTGCAGAGCCAGGGACCATGCCCAGACATCCTGTCTTACTTGCAGTCTGAGCTGGATGTTCCTCTCCAGTGAGTCCCCTGGGACCCTCCAGCCCACAGGCCTGGTTCTCAGGAGCAGGCTCATCACCCCGGCAGCCAAGGACTCGAGCAGAGGAGGAGGAAGAGATGCAAGAAAGCTGGTGCTTTTCCCCGTTTTGCTGTGCTGACTATAAAATTTTATTTTGGGGCCAGGGAGGCCCGAGTCACAGTCTCTGGGCATGACAGAGCACTCAATGTATACGACAGTACAGATGAGCTCAGTTGACAGCGGGCTCCTATTTCTCCCAAGTGCCCAATTCCATTCCCAGAGCTGCCCTTTGAACTCAAGATAAGGACCCCTGGCAGCTCCTCTGGCACAGGCAGGCTGGTCCCTGAGAAACGCCTGACCTTCCTGCCTCCTGCCTTTGCCCACAAGGTTCCTTGTGTCAGGCAGGCCCGGCCCCCACCTCTCTGCCCGGGCCAAACAGTCCAGTGTTCAGAGCCTGCCCGAAGCCGCCCTCCCTGTGAACTTCCCGTCTCACAACAACTGCCCCTCCGATATACTCTCTAGGTCCTTCAGTTATGTCCTGAATCATATCCTGTCTTGCAAAGTCCCCACAATGGCTCAGAAATGGCTGTGTCCCACATTTGACTTTCTCCTGCATTTTTCCTCAGGGCTGAGTGTAAGAACCCAGCACATTCATGTTAAATGACCAGCAGCTTCCTTAATGCAATGCAAACTATTTGTTGGTACCCAAGGACAGGATTATAAAAATGCAGTTGGTGGGGAGGTTAACCTAGGAAGGCTTCCTGGAGGAGAAGCTCAAGTAACATTTTGAAAATGGGTAGAGCCAGGCTCAGTGGGGAGAGGCCTAGCCTGCACATTCATTTAGGGGCCTGGTGCATGTAGACAGTTTGTGTCTGGGGTGGCAAAGGGTACCAAGGCAAGTCAGATCAGGCAGTCTGGACCAAAGCAGAGGGCCGGTGGCCCACAGGCTGAGCAGAAGGAAAGGCACCATGAGAAAGGGGCTTCAGGAGGCTGCCCTGTGGTCACACAAGTGCCGTGAATGGTGTCCCTGTTGGTTTGAAAATGCAAAGCCTGAAGCATTTGTGCTGTTTTCTCGCAGACACTCACTAGCCTGAGCCTCAAGGCTAATGAAGGGGAGGTACACACCCAGGGCTGAGCTCTTTGTGAATTGCAAATCTTAAGCCACAAGGGATGCTCACTGCCCGCCCCCCAGGTCATTCTGTAGGGAAGTCAGCAGCTGGTGCCCCACCGGCTGGGGGGCCAGGGGCAGGCACACCAGGCCTGGAAGGCAGTGGCCACTGCTATTCTACTGAATCAAGAAACACAGGCCTAGGAAGGAAATCTTGGGAGTTCATCACATCCATTCTAGCCCTGGGCAGGGCTGCCCAGTGCTCCTGCTGCCCTGCCTGCTGCCTGGCTTACCTCCGGGCCCCTGGTGGCGTCCCAGGCATTCCCGGGGATTTGCAGTGTTGCCACTGTGTCTCCAACCAGAGCTTCAGTTGGCTAAAATCACCCTGCTCTTCCCTCCCCTTCCTCTGCCCCCAGTCTCATTATTTCTATATAAAGCTGTAGATTTATCATTATAATAGAGCCGCCGTCACCGGGGTTTGCTAACATCTCTGTAATCTTGTAGTTATTGCTACAGAGGCCTCAGACCCCAGTGCACACAACTATTCCCGTCGCCATGCCTGCTCCTCCACTGCGGCGGGAGGTGAAGGCTGTAATTGGGGCCATAAATAGTGCTGTGTTTGGTGCACTAATGGATTTGGCCATCTTCCTGCCTCACCGGGTCCTCGCCAGCTTGGAGTGTGCATGTGTGTGTGTACGTCTATGCGTGTGCCCGTGTGTGTGTGTGTGTGTGTGTGTGTGTGTGTTGGGGGTGATGGGGCATACTGTATACTTGCAGGGAGCCTGGACTCAGGGTCTGCAGGGGAGAGGGGAGGACTTGTGTGGTGCAGTAGCCTCTAGCTATTGCACCACACAAGCAGAGCTGTGCAGAAAGAGCTCAGGCTTTGGTGCCAAACAAACCTGTGTTGCATTCTAGTTTTTGTACTTTCTAGCTTTGGGACCTTGAGACATTACCCTAACTGTGCCTCAGTTCTAATATCAGCAAAATGGGGAGAACAATGGCATCTAGCTCCTAGTGGGTTATCATATATAGTAAATGAAACTAACACACGAGCTACCTAGGACGGCACTGCCACAGAGCAGCCTGCTGAGCCCCGTCCCCCTGGCGCCTCCGCTGCTGACTCGGCCTGTGGGTCACCTTTGTACCTCTCCCAGGCCTGGCCTTCCCCTTCTCCCTAGGCCATCTAGTCTGACTGGTTGGTGGATATTATTCTTATTTTATTTCTTGTCTTAGCTATGCCATGTGTTCTCTGGGTGACCTTGGAAAAGTGACTTCCCCTCTCGGGGCTGCATTTTCCTCAGTGGTAAACCGTCTCCAAAATTCTGAGAGTCTCATCTTCTCAGCTTCTCGCATGGAGAAGTTCTTGGCCCTCTTGCTTTCACAGAACAGAGCTACCCAGTCCCTAGAGTCACCATAGCAGAGGCCTAAACCCTAGGATGACAGG